GCCCGCTTTGCACAGACTGCTCACTTGAAGCCAGAGGCACTGACAACGAGGAAGAAAAAACACATAATACACACACAGAGAGATGACAAACCAACCCCTGTGATGCTTGAGGAAAGGGACCGGCTCGCCCCCTTCCAATCTCAAGCAAAAAAATGACTACTGTGGAAGCTGTTCTAGCCAGATGCTTCCTGTTATTTATATGTTAATATGTTTGTAAAGTTGTGTACAGGTTTTTTTTTCTCTCTGTTTCTCTCTCTCTCTTTCCCTCTCTCTCTTTTTTTTCCGGTTAGCGGTTCTCTTATATAGGACTCATTTACTGTAATGTTCAGGTGAGAACACATTGTTGGTTGAAATAACTGTCCTGTAGCGAAAAGCTTTTCCTCCCCGTCGCGGGGAGGCGGCCAGGGGAGCTAGCTCAGACATCAGCAGTTTCTCTGAACAACTCTGCATGGAAGTTGTGTTTTCAAGTAAAGGATTGAAATGGAGTGGCTGCCTTTTTTTATTTTAAACCCCCCCCCAAACCTCATCTTTGAGTCGGTGCAGATGAATCTCGCCCGGTCCCTCTTGAATTGGGTCGTCGTCCTGATTTTTCTCCAAGACATTGTCGTCCTTATTTTTTTTCCCTCTCCTCCACCACCATCCGCACTCCCAAAGCGATTGAACCGTTGGCCTGCGTCCTGTCTCACGGCTTCCTCTCGCAACCGTCAGCCATATTTTCTGGCTGCTACCCCTTGGAACCGCAGAATAACTTGAGCGCGAGAGGTCTCTAAGGCCATCGGGTTCAATCCCCCCCCTCCTCAAGGCAGGAAACCCCAAGCCAACCGGGATGGATGGATGGCTGTTCAACTTTCTCTTGAAGGCCTCCAGCGTTAAGGCCATCGGGTTCAATCCCCCCCCTCCTCAAGGCAGGAAACCCCAAGCCAACCGGGATGGATGGATGGCTGTTCAACTTTCTCTTGAAGGCCTCCAGCGTTGGCACCATCTCTTTATTTCTGATCAGGTGAGCACCCCTTCCCAACCTTGGGTCCCCCCCAGATGTTCTCGGACTACACCTCCCAGAAATCCTGGCTAGTACAGCTGAGGGGGTGAAGGGCTTCTGGGAGTTGTAGTTCCAAGAACATCTGGGGCCACCCAAGGTTTGGGAACCGTTGCGAGATAACCACGAGACAGCATCGGTTCAGGTGAGCCTCCGAACCGTGGTCTGGAAGATCATCTCGACAACACCGCGCGGCCGAGGGCGGTGGTTTCCGACCTTGGGTCCCCCAGACGTTCCTGGACTACACCTCCCAGAGATCCTGGCTAGTACAGCTGGGGGGGGTGAAGGGCTTCTGGGAGTTGTAGTTCCGAGAACATCTGGGGACCCCCCCAGGCGGGGGGACCGCGGCCTTAGAGGAAGGCTGGCGAGGCCTTCAAGGTGGAGGGGGGGCTGCACAGTTTGAGGAGCGGTGGGAAAGTTTGGGTGGGAGAAAGTCGGCCGGATTCCCTCTTGGAGCCCCCATGGGTGCTTCTCTGTGGCCTTTTGCCGTGGAGTGGGGGCCCCGATCCCTTCCCTTCCCCAGATTGGGGGGGGGCTGGCCTGGGGGCCCAGAGGTGGCTC